ATATATATATGTACACACACATATATATTATATAGCTGTTAACATAATCCTTAATGAAAAGTAAGGGATTCGTGGGAAGTGGTATAGTACTCAGAAGTGGCCCCAGTGGATTCACTAGGCAAAAGCCTATCTGTTACTTGAGCACATAATAACATTTTCTGCACCTGTTAGTGCCTATGGTTCTTTTTTAGCTTTATGAAGCATGATAGTTTCTTTAAAAGGTACTGATGTACTCTCTGTGGTAAAGAAGAGCTTTATTCCTGTTATGTGGATTTAACCACTCAGAATTAATTGTCTTGTTTTTCTTTTCTGTTCATTTTTGCTGACCCATGTCTGGGTGTACCAGTATTTAAAATCATTTTTTAACTTTTTTTTTTTTTTTTAAAGATGACCGGTACGGGGATCTCAACCCTTGACCTGGTGTTGTCGGCACCATGCTCACCCAGTGAGATAACTAGCCATCCCTATATGGGATCTGAACCCAGGGCCTTGGTGTTATCAGCACCACACTCTCCGAGTGAGCCATGGGCTGGCCCATTTTTTAACTTTTTATTATGAAAAGTTCAAAACAAAAAAAAGTAGAAAATATTGTATAATAAACACCTATGTACCTATCACTTTTATCAAATCATTTCAGGTTGATGTGAATCTATTCCCCATTCACTTCCCTGACTTCTACTGAATTTTTTTGAAGCAGATCTTAAACATTTTATTATATCTGTAAATATTTCATTATATATCTCTAAAAGATAAAAATCCTTTAAAAATGAAGTTTAATGCTCTTACCTTGGAGAATATTAATATTTGAATATCATCAAATTTTAGTCATTGTTCACATTTTCCTGGCTGTCTTATATGGTCTTCTCTTATCCCCTCTTTTCCAGTTTTATTTTTAATTTTTTTTTTTTTTAAAGGAGCTGAGGCATTTGTTCCTCGGTGTTTTCTACTGTCTGGATTTGGCTGATTGCATTATTGTAGTGGTGTTAAACATGTTCATCTGTTTCTGTATTAGATTTAGAGGCTTGACCAGATCTTTCTGGCAAGGCACTTAGTAAATGGTGTTATGTACTTCTGTCAGGAGGTACATAATATCTGGTTATTTCTTCTGTGAGCTACAGCCATTAATGATCATTGTCAAGATCTGTTAATTGATTAGGGGTTTTGAAATGGTGATTTTGTTATTCTGTTGTTCCTTTTTTGGTTATTAGCTTGAATATTTCTATGTGGAAAAATTCCCTTATTAACTTTTTGATTTCTCTAAGATAACCATTTGTAAAGAAAAATGTGAGTAAGTCCTTGATCCACTTCTCCGTCTGTTTTCAATTAGTTGGTTCCCTAACAACCTTCAGAACTGCACAATGAGTTCTTGCCTGCCTCTTCCTCTCACCCTCCGTTCTACTGTTATGAATTTACAGATTAAAACATTTGATCTTTTTCAGTCAGTTGCAGTTGTTATGCTTACTCATGGTTAAATTGGCCAATCTTTGGCTACTGGGAGTTGTCTGCTAAGTCCTTTTGATACAGCTCTAGTAGTCTTTGAGAACATCCTTGCTTTTTATTACGGCAAGATTTTGCAGGCTCATTTTGTACATTTCCTGTCCCAGATCTGCAACCAGCGTTTCTCCAAGGAGCCCTGGCACTTATTAGTGGGGACGATATTGGTCACTGGTTCTAGACCGTTTCAGTAGATTGATCTACGAAATTGGTATTTTTTTAAAAAATAAAATCATCATGAGTTAATATTGATATTTCTACTTAAAGTTAAGTTTTGGGATTTTTATTTTACTTTATTAATTTTAAATCTCTGTCTTCTTTACCCACATCAAAAATCCCAGTTCTCAGCAACACCAACATAATTATTGATATGCCTTATCCCCCACTGTATACTTTAACAGTCTCAAAACAATACCAGTACCACTATCAACAATATGAATATTGAAAATAATTTTTAAAAAATTTATTTTGTTCTTTCTTCTCCTTAGGGATATACCAGAAATGTGCAATTGTGCAGTCATTTAAATTGTGTTTCAAATGACTTGGGATCATTCTCTCTGTGTAGTTAGGTCATCAGGTACATATGCAGTTAGCCCATGTATTTTGTGTTAGTTTTCATTTTTAGAGTTTCATTTTTTAAATATGCTTCATAATTATGTCAAAAAATTTTCATAGCTCCAACATCTAATCTAAAAAAACAAGGTATATTCAAGTAGGTCGAGTGTCTATTCCTCTTTTTTCCACCCTATTCCATTCCTATCCCACAGATAAGTAGTTTTTAACTTAAAAAATCCCCACCAGAATACAAAGACATATAGATATTTGTAGACATATAGATATTTGTATTCCTGCCCACCATCCCCCCGACCCCCCACCAAATGGTAGCATTCCATACACACTTTTCTCCACCGTGGTTTTTTCACACTGAAAAATATACCAGAGATTGCTCTTTAGCAGTGTATAGAGATATATACCTCATTCCATTTTATAGGACATAATTCTGCATTGTGTGGATGTAGTTTATATAACCAGTTCACCATTGATGGACAATTGGGTTATTTCCCATCTTTACCATTACAAATAGTGCTGCATTGAATAGTCTGTGCTTGTAGCTTTTCATATTTTTGCTATTGTACCTTTGGGATAGATTCTTAGAAATGGGATTGCTGGATGAAAATGTGAATGTAAATGTAATTTTGTTAGATATTGCCAAATTCCCCTACATAGGGGATTGAGTCCATATCCTCAGAATCTTTTTCTTCGAGATTCTTTTTTTGTTATATCTTTTATTGAAAAGTACTCTATAGTTTTGAATTACCTGGGAAATATTCACTTTAGGCTCTTTGACTTTCTCTTCAAGTAGGGAGACCAGCTTACATTTATGGTATTCATATCTTGAAGGTCATTGGAACAGTTTCTTCACTGATACAACCTCCTGGGTAATAGTATGAAGTACGGCATTTTGTGAATTCCCCCTAGAAATTCTGTAGAAATAGAGCCTAGAAGTCTTCATTTTTTAAATTGCTCATTCAAATCTGAAACATGGTTAGTGTGGGTGGGTTGCCTTTTTGTGGAGTGAAAATGCTCATTGGATACATGAGGAGAACAAATCTAAATTGTAATAGTCACCCTTTATTGAGTAGGAACTATGCACTAGACCCTGTGCTAAGTAAGCACTTTACGTATTTTATTTAATCTTCATAGTAGTCCATAGTCAGGTAGTTTCTGTTCTCCCCATTTTACAGATAAGCAAACTGAGGCTCAGAGAGGTTAGGTAAGAACTTAATCTTGAGTCAGACAACCCGTAAGTGGTAGAGTTAGGAGATAATACTTAGGTCTTTCTGACTCCAAAGTGTCAGTTCTTATGGCCATGTGTTAATTTATTAAATTATTTTGTTTCTGTTAGGATATTTAAAAAAAAAGTTTTAAATATTCTTTACAATTAGATGGTTTTTCATAGTCATTCACACTTCTTGAATTGGAGGTTGTACGTCATTTGACAGGATGTGGCATTGATTATCAGCATATGGAAGGAAGTGTAATACACTGGAAAATGTAGAGAAGAATAAAACACTGCTTCTATCTTCAAGAAGCTTGATACTAGTGGGAAAGGAAAATTATAGGCACTTTTAATTACTAGACAAGGAAATATACCTGACTCTTAAATTTGTTCAGAGTGGTAAAATTCAACTTTGTAAACTTATTTATATGATTTTAGTTTCTTGCCAACCAGTAACTATTATAAGTGAATGTGAGGTGTGTTGCTTTATCTTTCATTGTGAAAATAGTGAATGCATGAGTTTTAGGTCAGTCTCAGAAAGGTACTCCATTTCTCTGTTGGAAAGTGTGTAAACTGGTTATGATTTTAATGTGAACATCCTGAAGATTAGTTTGTTCAGAGTGGTAAAATTCAACTTTGTAAACTTATTTATATGATTTTAGTTTCTTGCCAACCAGTAACTATTATAAGTGAATGTGAGGTGTGTTGCTTTATCTTTCATTGTGAAAATAGTGAATGCATGAGTTTTAGGTCAGTCTCAGAAAGGTACTCCATTTCTCTGTTGGAAAGTGTGTAAACTGGTTATGATTTTAATGTGAACTTCCTGAAGATTAGGTTAATTTTAATGTTTTTGAGTTGTATGTGAGTTGTAACAATGGATGGATGGCGTTTTTTTATATATAATACTTTCCCTTATGCCATATTTCCTCTCAGTCTTTTACATTAATTATTTTCTTGATGTATCTTTTAGCTTGAAAACTATGGGCAGCAAGAACTTGGGGATCTTTTTGTGAACTATAATGTAAAATCCCCCATTACTGGAAATGATCTATCCCCTCCAATAGCTTTTAACTTAATGTTTAAGACCGTCATTGGGCCTGGAGGAAACATGCCTGGGTATGTATCACTTACTGTTTATCTATTTATGTAACAAATTTATTGAAATTGCTTTTAAAAACGGTAAATAACAATGCTATGAAGAAAACATTTTGAAAAATGATTCACAGAAAGTACAAATCAATGTATTAAGGAAAAGTAATGACAGACATTTTACAATTTTATGTCTTCTAATTCTTAATGAATGTAATCTTTTTTTAGCATATATAATGATTTTTTTTTTTTTTTTGGCCACAAAATAAATGTAAAAGTCTGTGATCATTATATCTTCTAGTTATAGCTGCATAGGGCAGAAGAGAGAGTTAAGGAACAAATTTGAAAGTCATTGAATTGATTGCTGAAGGAAACTTTAGAAACCATTTACTCTTGCACAGCACTGTCCTGTAGAACTGCCTGCAGTGATGGAGATGTTCTGTAATCTGTGCTGTCCAATATGGTAGCCACTAGTCACGTGTGGCTGTTGAGCACTCAAACTGGGGCTAATGTTTCTGAGGAACTGAATTTGTAAATTTATTTTATTTTAATGAGTTTAAATTTAAGTAGACATGTGACTACCATATTGGACAGCATAGGTGTAGCCTGTTGATTTAAAAGATCTGATTTTCACAGATAAAGAAAACTGGGGGCCAATTGGTTAGCTCACTTGGTTAGAGCATGGTGCTGATAACACCAAGTTCAGGGGTTTGGGTCCCCACACTGGCCTGCCGCCAAAAAAAGAAATAAATGGGGAAAAAAAAGAAAAAGAAAAAACCTGGACAGTTAATAATGTTGTCCAGAATTGGTATTTGTATGTCCAGATTTCTTGTCCAATATGAACAGATGTAGCCGAAGTGTTCTATTTCATAGCTTTGATATTTTTCTTATGGTCTTGTTTTAGGGTAAGAAAGTGGGTTTTTGCTAGTTGAAGCTAGATAGATCATAGTTTCCTGAAGTAGAAACTAAAGAATAATAAAAACTAGTTGTGACAAAATGTGTCACAATTAATTATTTTAATAAGACAACAGGTTGATTTGGTGTACTTTGTGGAAAGAGACCCATGGGAAGCCTTTGCTTTGGCAGTACATACAGAGAGTCATAAAATGGGACATATCCTCTGACCCAGACATTCCTTTCCTGGGGATCTGTGTAAGGGGATCTGTGTAAGGAAATAGTTCAAAAGGAAAGGAAACTGTACTTACAAAAAGTATATAAATTAAAAGTAGAAACAACCTATTAATAATTTGAGGGTGGTTGAGCAAATTATAGTAAAGTAGATCATACTCTGCTTAAATATGAGAAATTTTTATGATTATTTAGAAAATGGAAAAGTATAAAATGAGTGAAATAAACAATCCATAATTTTATACACACTACTTATAAATACACATATAAACTCTATACACATATAAACTTCTGTTGTGTGAAATCTGGAAAGGACCACAAATGAAAAGAGTTGGTCTGTTATAGTGAGAAGAGGGTAAAATTTAAGAGTTTTTTAATACATGAGTTTTGAAGTTGTTTTGGTGAAGTATTTATTTTGAAGTGGGCCAGTGGGAACACGTTCGTAGTGGATGGTTTGCACAGAATATTTTCTGTGAAATTGAGGAGAGGGCAATGGCAATAATAGTGTATTTGCTTGACTTTATCTTTAAAATATGGAGAAATACAGAAGGCTCTTGCTGAAAATATAAAATACTGTAAAGAATAAAAATGATATGAAAAACTTTGAAAATTGCCTGGTGTGCTGGGAAGTGAGCACTAAATGTTAAATGTTAGCTCGTATTGACCTCTTTTTAGCCCCACGGTTATGTTTTTATATGTGAATTAACAGAGGTATACTTAGGCATGGGTCTTATTTTTCAGAAGGATCTAAAATTGTCATCTGCCTCCATGTAAATGATTGCTCAAGAGGATGTGAGAGGCTTTAGGGGCAGTATGAGAGAGGTGGTGTTTTGACCTACTGGAGTACTAATTAAATAAAATGACATTGTTAACAGTAGTATTGCCATACCAATTACCTAATACATTTTCTAAAACTTGGTATAAGAACATTTGTTACCAAGGAAAATATCTATTTCCAGAACTTCATTTTAGGGCCTATACAGTTTTGTTGTGAAAGTGATATATTTAGGACTTTTAGAATTTGTGTCTAGAATTTCAGGTTTGTTGGAAAACATAATTTCTTTGTTTATAACAGATTTACTTAAATTCATAGGTATTTGAGACCAGAAACTGCACAGGGGATATTCCTGAATTTCAAACGACTTTTGGAATTCAACCAGGGAAAGTTGCCATTTGCTGCTGCCCAGATTGGAAATTCTTTTAGAAATGAGATCTCCCCTCGATCTGGACTGATCAGAGTCAGGTACTGCCCCTGTTACTCTTGTAAAATTAGTGAATGACATTGGCATTGAATTGGAAATGAAAACTTGCTATTTTGAAACAATTCTGCTTCATGATTGTGATTATGGAATTATTTTTGTCTTCTCCAAAAAGCATGCTTTACAATTGTTATCTCCAAATGTAATCTCTAGGGTAGTAGGGAGTTTTGAGTGACTTGAAGGGCACTTTAAGGGAAAAGGAGGGAGGGTGGAAAATAACTCTAGTTTTTCACCTGCTCCAAAATTCTCTTTTGCCTTTGATTATCTCATGTTTGAGGATGGTGAGGTCTGGATTGTGTAAACCAAGGCCGTTCTTGCAATGGTGATGTGTACAGTGTAGAGTGGGGTGGGGGTGCGGTGATGGGTTATGACAGGAGGATTGTTCTAGGTGTTCAGGTCAGACAACATTGCTGGAATTGGGGTAAGAGTGTTTCAATAACCACTTGGTGTTCTGGACACAACCTCCAGATAATGGGGGTCCTGTACGACAGAAAGTCCAGCTGGCAAGCTTATCCCCATCTACTCTAGTTGACACTCACTTGCCTTTATTCTATTAACCTGATTGTGTCCAATGTATCCAGGAATGTGTGGGAAGGCATATGGCAACTGTTCAGTTCCACTTTAGCCTTTCTTTTTTAAGGGGGCTGGGGGGGGCGGGGAAGGGGCCGGGCGGCTGGCTGGCTGGGATCTGAACCTTTGACCTTGGTGTTATAACACCATGCTCTAACCAACTGATAGTTCCATTTTTCTTTAGAAATTTATTTAGGGCTGGCCCGGTGGCGCACTGCTGCAGTGCGCCGCTTGGGAGTGCTGAGGCGCTCCCGCCGAGGGTTCGGATCCCACATACAGACCGGTTCCCGCTCACTGGCTGAGCGAGGTGCGGGCGCAGCACCGAGGGTTGCGATCCCGTTGCTGGTCCCGGTCCGGTACGGGCGCGACACTGAGGGTTGCGATCTGTTGCCGGACATGAAAAAAGACAAAAAGGAAAAAAAAAAAAAAGAAATTTATTTATTTAGCTGTTTATGACTTGAGCTTTTTGGAATTTTCTGTACATTTCTTCCTGATATCATCTCTTAGAGTAATATATCCTATATAAAAATAGGGTGTGTAAACATACTTAACTTTCTTAGGCTCCAAAAGTGTTTTCCCAGCCCCAGTGCTCCACCCCTTTTCTCTCTTCTCTTCTTACTTGCTGTAATTACAGATTTCAGTCTTAATGTAAGCCAGCCACTGACTCTAGATCAAAGCACCCAGAGCCTGCCTAGTCCTGTTAGTCCCCATAATGTCCTGTGTGAGGAAATGCCTCTACATTCTGACCAAGCTCTCATCAGGCCTGTAGTCCCTTTGGACCTATGATCTAGGAAGGAGAGACTTCGTGGAGGGAAGAACTTGCACAATGTAGAGAAAGGGGGTGGGAGGAACTCCTCTGGCTTTCGTGTAGAAAGAAGAGGTAACTGGAAACTTTAATGAGATGTTATAACAATGAAAGACTTGTGAGATTTGTGTCTGTTTTATTTTCCAGTGTTTGGGTTTTTGTTTTCTTTTTGTTTTTTGGTTTCCCCTGTTCTGGTAGCATCTTAGCAAACTTGCTTTCCCAATACTGAGGAAAGCTGTGTAAGACTAACCCTGTCTAAAGCCCATGTTTTGGAGAGGATTTACATACAGTAGCTATGGGAAAATTATAAAGGACCGAGAAGTAAGGCAAAGTCTGGGGCCTGAGGAAAAAAAGGTGGTGAGAAGGGAAAGCAGCTCAATTCAGGAGTGATTCCAGGTCTTAACTGGTAGAAAGGCCCTGGCGCCTCCTGACAGTTTATTCCTTGGTCATTTTCACTTGAAAGTGTCCTGTGTAGATTTTGGCTAGTTTTGTTATGTACCTCTGCAAATTCCTGACCAGAAGTCCACTCATTCTTCCAAGAGTCTACATCCCCATGGTTTTTGTTCCATGGTAGAACGAGGATTGGTTGTTTAGTGTTATGATTTCTACTTGATGACAGTATTATCAGGTGATTAGTACATTTTATTTTATTTTAATTGGCTGGTTCTGTCTTCCTGGCCTGTGCATATTTTAGTTCTTCACAGATTCAGGTAGAGTCTCTGAAGTCAAAGACAAGAGACAGAGCTGGCCAAATCAGTGTTAGTGTAGATTCCTCCCCCAGCTTTATTGAGGTAAAATCGACAAGTAAAAATTGTATATATTCAAAATGTACAACGTGGTGTTTTGATATACGTATACATTGTGAAACAGTTACCTCAGTCAAGCTAATGAACATGTCCATCCCCTCACATAGTTACCTTTGTTTTTGGTGTAGAGAATACTTAAGATCTGTTCTCTTTAGCAAATTTCAAGTATACAGTGCATAATTAGTGGCTATAGTCACTGTGATTTCTTTTCTTTCTTTTTTTTTCATTTTTGGCAGCTGGCTGGTATAGAGATCCGAACTCTTGACCTTGGTGTTCTAACACCACTCTTTAACCAACTGAGCCAGCCCGCCAGCTGTGCTGCGATTTCTTGGCAAAACAGATGAGAAGACTTTGGCAGCAGCTTTTTTGGACATTCTGCTCAGGGCCTTTAATTTATCTGCCCCACATTATACGTATTAAGTTGCCGTCAACCCAGTTATAAACTATGTGAGGACAAACACCGTGTTTGTTTGTCTCTCTTACATTTCTATGTGCACAGAAGATGTTTGGTACTTGTTGAAACATAGGACATAGTTGCTGCGGGACCAAATAAGAGATGCAATTAAAAAATAAAATGTAAAAAATAAAACCTTTTTGCAATGCATGTTACGTATTTTTAGGACCCCTTTAAGCAATTTTATATTACCTCTAAAACATACGAGATAATCGTGAAAGGGCACCAGTAAATGTTATCTTTTCTTTTTTAAGAAGAGAGATTAGATTTTGACTCAGAATTAACTTAAAACACTTTTCCCCCCAATAGCTACTAAATTGCCATTCAGAGAAATCTCTTTGGGAAACCATTGCTGTGTTCATGCTTATTTCATTATTATGCAGTTACCTTGATGTAGCTTGTTCAGTTTGTGCCTTATGTTTTTTGCCTTGAATAACACTTTATTTAGGAAGCTCTTACTCTAAAGAAACCAGCTGTATGGTGCCATTATCAGTCATTTACTTGTTCAGAGCAGTAAAAAAGAAATCAAATTGCTATAAAAGCTAAAGAGCCATTTCAATTCACTTTTAATTTCTCATTCTTTGAAAAGTAAATATCAGGAGCTTCATTTAGTGTGTATTTATAAAGACTTACTAATGTGTCAAGGAAAATCATTTTATTTGGATGTCACTATTCAGTATCTTTTTTCTTTTTATGTGTATGACTTTTACTTATGCTTTTCTAATTTTAAAAGCTATATTAATCTGCTTTTTAAAAATTATTTTTTGTTAAAAGTAATATTTTTGGATATGGCTAGATGGAAGTAATTAATATTTGAGAGAAATTTGTGCTTATTATAAATAGAGAGTATAGTAATTAAGTTTTTATTAATGTGTTTAAAGATAACAGCCACCTAGACAAACTTAATCTAAAAGTTTTTTGGCCATTCCCTTTGGGAACCAACTTTTTGTTTAGTGATAAGAGATTCTTATAGTATGGGGCCTTTATCAGTGTAGAATGCAGTTGAAAATAGGGATCTTGTTTACTGTTTTCTATAGTTAAGCATGCAGATTTTATCCCTTATATTTTTGCTTTCAGAGAATTCACAATGGCAGAAATTGAGCACTTTGTAGATCCCAGTGAGAAAGACCATCCCAAGTTCCAGAATGTGGCAGACCTCCACCTTTATTTGTATTCAGCAAAAGCCCAGGTCAGCGGACAGTCTGCTCGGAAAATGCGCCTGGGAGATGCTGTTGACCAGGTGAGATTGTGGAGGTAACTTAATTTAGATTGTGCCTATTCAGGGTTTCTAGCACTTAGCAAATTCTGTGTGTACTAGATGAGAAAATATTTTATTTTAGCAGTCATTTTATTTTTATACAATATTTATTTTTATACAGTGTTATTATAGTAGGAGAAAATCACCCAAACATCTCAATTTCTGGGCCATTGGAGCTGACATGATTAGCAGAGCACTCAGAAAACAGATTTTGGTTTGAACTGTGCCTGAATACTACTACTTTAGGGGGGACTGAATTTGACTCACAGGAAGCAAGTGCTCTGGATTTTAAACTCTTCTGTATTACCCATAGCAATTGGGATAAGGCCTGGCATATAACAGAATTTCTTTTAAATGTTATCCTGGAGAAACAAGTGAATAAAAATTTTCCAGTAATAGCTGTTGCCCAGTAGTGGAATGAGTTGCCTTGGGAAGCAATGAGCTTCCTGGTCCTGAAAATATTCAAGGAGAGGCTGGCTGGTGTCTTGTCAGCCATTTTGCAGAAAAGACCCCAGCAGCAGGTGTGAGAATGGGGCTAGATGATTTTTAAGACTCCTGCAGTACTAAAATTGTAAGATGACATATACTGTATGGTGTTTACAAATTTTAGTGGATATGAATACATTAAAATTCCCTCAACATGTCTCATTACTTTTGTTAATTCAGAAGGAAATATCTTGTCATTCCTTAGGGTCATTGTTATGAATATCATTTTTAGTACTGAAGATTTAGAAGGTAGGAGGTATTGGCTGAATTTTTGCTAGCCAAGTGAGTACATTGGACAGATTTTGAATAACTCCATCATTATCACCATGTTAACTTAACGTCAGCTCCTTTACAAATAACCAAAATCGCATTCCGGGTATTTGAAATTGTTTTGATAGCAGGATAAAATAGTTTACTTTGTGTTTCAAATATTCTTTTAGTAGATATGAGTAACTCAATGCAAAACGGTACCTTGGCGTTCAGAAGTATTAATGTGTGTTTTCTTTCCTCTATGCTTGCTTGCTTGCCTATTTATTTAGGGTATAATTAACAACTCAGTATTAGGCTATTTCATCGGCCGAATCTACCTCTACCTCATGAAGGTTGGAGTATCTCCAGATAAACTCCGCTTCCGACAGCACATGGAGAACGAGATGGCCCATTATGCCTGTGACTGCTGGGATGCTGAATCCAAGACGTCCTATGTAAGTGAAATGGAATGGTTTTTACTATGTGGGTTTCACATTATTAACTTAGAAGCAGGGATATCAAAATTGCCTTTTGTGCACATTCTGTCAGATGGAATAATGAGAAAAGAAAAGAGATCTTTTCCTGAGCAACATGGAAAAAGCACTTGCCCCCTGCCTTCTTGTAAGGAGGGGTCTACTCTTTGGGTCCCAGGAACCCTTTGTAGACTTAGCTTCTTGAGAGAAAGAGACACACAGAGAGGGAGGGGGAGGGAGAGGGAGAGAAGTTTGGTGATGGGGTAGTGCTGTGTGTACCTTCCTGGGGTGGGCAGTGGTGTTGGTAGTATCCCTAAGTGGGGCTAAGACAGGGTGGCCTCCTTCCTGACTTTGATCCCAGCACATGTTGGAAGTGGTGGTGGGGTTGAGTAAAGAAAGTCATGGGGCATTTAGCTTTGAGAGCTGTTTGGTAGATTTGGGGGATAGACTAGTAGATTCTGATCTTTTGTTTAGGAACTACTTTTTCTCAAATTCTATGTATTTAATAAAAATTCTGGGAAGATTTCTAGGTTACCTCTCCATTGTATCTTTCCATCTCACGTCTTACCCCCCAAAACACAAACATTAGTACTGAAGCTTAGGAATGAAAGGAGATGCTTTCTATATTGTTGGCAGCAGTAACAAGGAGGCATCCAAAACAAGGAGGCTGAGTGCCTTTTGACATTTCCTTTGGGTGCTAGAGAGGTCCTCTCACCCATACAGAAAGAGACTTTACCTTAGTGCAGGTTATTGGTTCCCATATATCCTTGGTTTCACTTTTTACTTTTTAAAGTGGCTTTCTTTTTATGGATTCTTTTTTCTTTAAATTAAAAATAAAAACTGGTCATATTAGAAAAGTAATGACTCCTTTTGTTTTACAAAAAGGAAGAAATAATTCTGAAGAATATTATGTAGAATGTGAAACTTTCAATTGTGTGCCTCTTCCCAAAAATGTTTCACGTCTCTTCTCTGTATTGGGGATTGGCAGACATTTTCTGTGAGGTGTTTCATGTCTCTTCTCTGTGTTGGGGATTGGCAAACAAATAGTAAATATATTCAGCTTTGTGGGCCACCAACAGTCTCTGTCACATATTTTCTTCGTTGTTATTTTTTACAGCCCTTTAAAAATGTAAAGAGCGTCCTTAGCCCCATGGTCATTGGTGTATCAACCCATTCTATATGATTTTCTGTGCATTATAAATATACATGCATATGTAAATGTGTAAATATATGCATGTGTCTATAGTGGCTGTTATTGATTGATATTGTTTTTAGGATATTATATTTGTGGAATTAGGAAAGAATTACTGTAATATGTTAGGTTTTTCTTATTACTTTATTTTCTTAACAAGCTTGCTTGACATATGCCAAAATAATAGTAGTGATTGCTTTAGGATTATGGGTTATCATTAATTTCTTTACACTTTTTGGATTTTCTGGCATTTTTTATTTTTAGATCAAACCACTAAAATGTTTTTTTTTCCTTTTGTGTAAGAAAAGATTATTTCTTTTCTCTTTGTTGCATGCCAGTTGCCTCTCTTAGTTTGCTTGGACCCTAATTTCGAGTTAAACTAGATGCACATTCTTGCTACCTCAGTTTAGATTCTGAATTGGGCTTGGCTTACTCTTTATTTATTCCATTTGTTTATTCATCCAACATTGGTAATTGTTATGGGTCAGGTCCCATTCTCAGTGTTTCACGTATATTATCTTATATACTCCTCACAATTATTCTGTTTATAAGTACTATTTCTTTTTTTTTTTTTTGTCTTTTTTCCGTGTCCGGCAACGGATCGCAACCCTCAGTGTTGCCCCCGTACCGGACCGGGGACCGGCAACGGGATTGCAACCCTCGGTGTTGCCCCTGTGCCGCGCTCAGCCAGTGAGCGGGAACCGGTCCGTATGTGGGATCCGAACCCTCGGGCGGGAGCGCCGCTGCGCTTCCCAAGCGGCGCACTATCCATTGCGCCACCGGGCCGGCCCTATAAGTACTATTTCTGAGGAAACCAAAGTGCTGAGAGGTAAAGTAATTTGCTCAAGTCACAAAGCTAGCAAGTGGTGGAGCTGGGTATGAAACCAGGCTTACTGGCCCCAGGTTGTGCTCTCACCTGTTACGCTGCACTGCTTCATAAACCCTACTGCCTGCCTGCTGATCTTGATCTGAGTGGCACTTCGAGGCTTGGGGATCAGAAAGTGTGGGCCTAACGCTGAGATTAGGTTATAGTATTTCTGTAAGGTCATTGGAAGACAGGGCTAAACAAACCAGAAGCTCCAAAGTAACACAGACTTTTAAGGAGAAGAGAGAACTCCTTTAAAGACTAGTTTCTTTTTGTGGGCTTTTTTTTTTTTTTTTTTTTTTTTTTAAAAAAAAAAATTTATTGTTGCAGCTGCTGCCATACGCTTTTCCTCTCTCTCCCAAGAAGTAACCATTTTTCCAGGGTTATTGTTTATCATTCAGACATGCTTTTATTTATTTTTTTCCTTTTTGTCTTTTTTCGTGACTGGCAACGGATCGCAACCCTCAGTGTCGCGCCCGTACCGGACC